TAAAGGTTTATTTTTATTTTATCTTTAGAACTACTCAAGAGCCATTTGGAGATGAGGGTATGAAATGGGGGGTGATCAGGTTAAGTAGCTGAGTTTTGGAGGAATCAGGAGGAAAAAAATGGTCAGAAAATATATGACTAGATCTCTAGTTTATATATGTTCTAGATCTCTAGATATGTTTGAGCATATCCCCAGATAATTCTAAACAGGAGTTTTAGATGTGATGGGAAAATGTTGAAGTAAATATAGAACTTCCTAAAGTGTTTGAATTGAAAGATATCAGGATATATATGTTGGGTAGGTTTATAAGAATTTTAAAAACAGTCTCAGTACATTATAGCACCTTATTTAAAATTATATGCTAATTTTGTACCATACTTGCTAAAATGCCAACACACATCATAGAAGATTCGACTATTTTTTATTCATTTGGCTAATTTGGCAGCTATGGGTGGATTCATACAGAATTCTCAAGTACCATTACGGAACTGTTTTCAGTGATGGCTAACCCCGAACCTTCAGGGATGGCTCCATGTTGTGGCAGAATGAAAAGCAATGAGCTGCTCCCTGAATTTTTGTCTCATTAGATCTAAATAGTTGCACACATATTTACTATATAAAATCAGAAAATAGCCCTTTATAGTGATTGCTTTTCAGGGGAACCCAGGCTCTAAGGCCAGCTCTGTCAGGCTGAGGCTGCTCCTTCATTTAATTGGAGCCTATTTTCATATATTAGAGCATACATCAGCGTTTTTCTTAAAAGTATATGTGAGCAGTACAAAGCTGAAATATATAATTGTGAAATAAACATTTACTTGAATTGTTCTACTTTTAATTCCAAAGCAATTTAAGGAAAAAACTGTTTCCAAACAATTATAATGGACTTGTAGTATGTAACTGACAGAATATGTGAAAGAGCTTTTAACCGAAAAATAGAGATAACCTGGATATTCTTCTCAGCAGTATTCTGTTTCGTTTCATCTGTAGATAATGGCATTATTTAGCCATTTTCAAAAAAGTTAGATTCTTGTTCACGTGGTAATGAGTCTTTCTTACAAACATTCACTCTAAGGAATTTTAGCTCAATTTTGTAAAGAAGGATAAAATCTAGTCATACAATATATATATGCTATACTGAGCGTGAGCTATTAAATATGTACTTTTACAGCATTATTTTGTAAATAATAAAAAGTTAGAGCTTTACGAAGAGGTAGATTGAAAGGAATATATCTTCTAGACTCTCTAATCTAGGGAATAAAAAACAAGATTAACCCGTAGGGATACTATTCTGTTTGTAAATATCTGTCCCTAGGAATAGCGATTTTCAGAATGCTACTTGTAACGGACAAACTAATAATAGTAATAATAAGGCTTTGAGGCTTTTCTTGTCCTCCCAGAAATTGTAATTTCCAAGTTTGAAAAAGAAAGTCTAAAAATCCCTACATATTTGCTAATCAATCCTTCAAGCATAAATTTTTGCTGAAATACATTTTTTGTTTTTAATAAAATGGTTTCATGTGATCATGTTAAGCCATTGGAGGGGGTATCCACTCTTTCATAATAGAGTTTCTTTTTTTGGATTTCAAAAATTTCAATCTGAATATGAGCCAACATGAGAACTAATAATAAAAGCTGAGGTATGTTGGCAATTTTTTTCAAAACAAAAAAAAAGACTTTTTTTGTGTTTCGAGTAAAGAATTCACATTTTTCTTGAAGTAAAGTAAAATATTTGAGCCAATACTTTCACTATTTCACAATTCCTCTCAATCTTAAAGCAAGGGCAACAATCTCATAGCAATATCTTAAAGTTGCTAATGTAAGAAACTCAGCAAAACCTTATCCTGAAGAATCTCCCCTGTTCTGACCTTGATCATCCTGTAGGATAAACTTTGCTTCCAGTATGCAAGGGTGGGTGGTGAGGAATCTGCTACAATGCTGGTCCCCCACTTGTTGCAATGGACTGTCTTCTTTCACAAGGAGTAAGGACCTGTCATTAGTGTCTAATGCTCTTCCATTATTGGAAAAAATAGCTATTTATTGACAATTAATGAATTTCAAACTGACCTGTGCAAGTATCTTCTTTTTAAAATTATCTCAGTGCCAATTACTATGTTTCACTAGGAGTTTGACCAATTAAAACGTCTTTCTTTTCAAAATTCCTTCACTGATAGTATAAAATGTTATTCGCTTTAACATTATATATGTATAAAAATACCGTATACCCATACCGACAATATTCAAAAGGATCTAACTTCATTTTTATAATTGAAAATCATTTTAATAAATGGATTTACAAATCAAAAGTATTTTAAATATAATTTGTGTACCATTATTATAAATTATTGTTTTATTTTAAAAATAAAATTGGTTTAGATTTTCTGAAATCAAGCAAGTATCCCAGAAAGTGTTTTTACATTTCCGATCTTACCATTATCATTCAAAATTCCTGAAATGGGTGTTGTTTTGCTTTATAATAATCACGTTTCCCATGAGAGTCTTTCTCTAATTTGTTTAAAAATACATTTTCTTTGATAATTTAGTACATTGGAAATTTATTCTAATCACTTAAATATGTGATCTATAGCAGTTTGGTGTTCCCTCAATTGAAAATGAGATTCTTATCACAAAACATTAGGTTTTACACATCACAAATGTGAGCTGCACTTTCAGCGAAGTGTTAGCCGGATCAACAAATCGTGGTCAAGTCTGGGGGGATTTTACATGCACTGTATACTTTATTCATCAGCCAAACAGTCCTAATTTCGAGATAAATAATAGACTCATTTATGGAATATAAATGGTTTCAGTCAACATGCCTCCCAAAAACATTTTGCGTCATGTTTAAAAGTTTTCTCTGAAAATGCCATTGAAATCGTAAACTAAAATTTATGATTAAATGAAGTCTAAGCTCTCATGACAAAAAAATCCTAACATGGTCATTCGTTCTTCAATATATTAGCTGAATCTAGTCTTATATTATTGTCAAGGCACTTATCTAAAGTATTTTCAAGAATTAAAAGATAACATTTTTCATGCCCTGGAAATGAGAGGATTTTAAAATAAAGGAAAATAGATTGAAAACCTGGTCGATTAATTTATCAGTTTCTGAAACAGTAGACTAAAAGGATCAGCACCTAAAATACAAATAGTTTCTTTTAATGAATTCCCCAGGCAATCCGTTTATCTTTAGCTTGGAGAGGGCCGGTTAAACAGCCAGGCTCCTGCGGGTCAAAACCTTGGGGGAGGGAAGGAGAGTGGGCGACTCACCCACCCCACAAAGCATACACTGTGTGGTGTGCACCAAGGTGTGGGAGAAAATATACTTTTCCACTTATGATTGCTTGCGTTAAGCGTTGAAGGCCCATCTATTTAAAAAGTGACCACATCCAACTTAAATTGTGCCGCCTCCCCACCCCTCCTTCCTGAAAGCACTAGAGAGACAGGTAGGTCATTACATTCAGATTAAATCAGAAATGTGGTGCTTTGATGTTGGAAGCAAAACCCTTAGGGACAACTGAAAAACTAGCTAAATAAATAAATTTACTTACGTACTTATCTATCACGTCGTGTCGTGTCTGTAGGGAAAGCGAAAAGCTCGCTGGTCTTGAGCTGCACGCCCTGTTCTGCGCTCCAGCCTTCTCTGGGGTTGCGGCCCCTCTGGCCTCCCCAGACCCCTGGACGAAGCGGCCAGGGCTCTCCTCGCGCTGTCGTAGAGCCGGGTGGCCGCGTGGGGTCTGGGCCACCTTGGTGATTGAGGGGCTGGACACGGGCTGGCCAAGCGAAACGGCCACAGGCAACCGGGCCGCCCCTCGGACCATTCTCCAGCCCACCTGAGTAGGGTCCTCACACCTGGTTGTGTCTCTGGAGATGTAGGGAGAGAAAGCGAGAGGGGCGTGCACGGGGCGGGCCAGCGTGGAGGGTGGCTGCTGAGGTCGCGTCTTGGGGACTGGCCCGGCCTGCAGCACGGGCTCCCGGAGCCTCTCGGCGTGTCGCCGCGGTCGGGAGCTCGCGCGGTTCCCCTCCGGCAGAAGTGAGCCCGGACAGGCGCCCCCCGAGGCGGCGCGCGGGTCCCCGGCTGCTGCCCCGCCGCCCCGCCCCGGCCCCAGGTGCGCCTGGCGCGGACACTCCGGCCGGCCCGGGACGGAGGCGCCGCCGCCCGGCCCGAGTCCTCACCGCCGCGCCCCGCGAGGCACCGTGCTGGGTCTCGGCGAAGACGCACCGCCCGCGCCTCTCCCGCGATGTCCCAGAGCCCTGTGACCGCAGCCGGCGGGACAGGCAGCGAGGGCCCGGCCCCCTGGTGCCCCTAGGGCCGAGCGCAAGGCCAGGGCGCGTCGCCCCCGCCCCGGCCCGGCGCGGCGTCCCCATTACCTCGGAGGCCCGCCCTCCAGTCCCGGAGGGGACTTCCTTGTCCTCCGCCCCCAGGATTCTACGACCCCCTACCCAGGACTGGGGAGGTGCAGGAACCCCCGACCCGAACCCGCGCGCGCACACACACGCGCGCGCGTACAGGCCGTTGCTATGGAGAGGCCGGTTACCAGCGAGGCTGAGGGCGGCAGGTCCCCTCCTGCAGGCCTCCCTCCCTCCCTGCCCCCTCTCTCCGCCGTTTCCCCCCTCGCCCCGCCGGGGCTCCCCGAGCCCCCTCCCGCCTCCTCTGCGCCCCCTGTCCGTGCACCACCACCCCTCCTCCCTCTTTCCCCGCCCAGGGCCGGGCTAGGGGTCGCCCCGGAGGCTGGCGAGGTACGCCAAGGCCCGAGCAGGGTGGCAGGGAGGGGCAGGAACCACCGCCACTGGGTCTTGGCTCGAGGAGGTCCCTCAGAGGGTGGCCCCTGCGCAGTGCGGGGCGTGGGCCCAGGGGTGGGGGGACGGGGACCGTTCCGGGGAGGCCCAGCGGGCGGGCAGAGCGGAGGGCCGCGGCCCCGAGCGGGTTTGCGGGGGGTCTGCAGGCCCTGCTCTGGCGCGGGAACGCAGAGATCCCGGGTGACTTCCCCCCTCCTGGCCTGATGGGTGTACGGGGCGGAGTGCACTGCGGGTGGAGAACCCGAGAAAAGCCGCCGTTTCCCCTTCGGCTTCTCGGGAACTCCTTTTCCTGGCGCTTCTCGAAGCCGGACGAAGCGAAGGCAGGCCTCCTGCCCCCGGCGAGCTCGGCCACACCTGCCTACAGGAGCTGCGGCTCTACGAAGCGCTCGACTCTGGCCCCTGTAAAGACCAAATCAAACTAGGACTTAGCCTAGGCTCTCCGTCAGAGGAAGCGAGCCCCTAGGACAATTTTAGACAGAGGCGAGCGCTTCACAGGCCCTCGGCTCAACTCTACTGACGACCCCTTCCCCTGAGCCCTGGCCCCGAGGCTTTATGGACCTCGGTTTCCAGGAGGGAAGCGCGACGGCGAGGCCCCCGGCGCGGGGAGGGTCTGGGGGCAGCGCCTGAGTGGAAGGGAGGGGAGAGGAAGCGGTGCAGGCTCCGCCCGGTCGGGCAGGTGGGGGAAGGGGGCTGCGGAGTCTGCCCTGGAGGGGCAGGAGCGGGCGCCGGGGCCGCTGGGTGTGCGGCGGGAGGGGCGTCGGGTCAGGAGGGGCCGCCCTGCTCTGCGCGGGCCGCCGTCTCCAGCTGTCCCGAGCGCAGGAACAATGGGCAAGCGGTGGGAGAGGAGGACTGGGAGGAGGGCTCCAGGGTTTCCAGAAAAGGAGAAACTAAAGAGCCCTCCGCAGACTGTCATCTGCGTGTGACAAGATCGCCCCCCCCCCCGACTCCTTTCTTTCTTCCCCTTGTTCCTGCAGCTGTGGGCCTCGGAGAGCGCATTGTACACACAGATGTTGGGTTTCAGCTCTCCGCTCTCGGCTGCTCGGCGGGGGCGCCGCGCTCCGGGGGTGCCTCAACCTGTGGCTGCGACCGAGGGTCCAGGGCTTTGGGAGGGACAGTGTGGGGGAAAGGGCCGGGGGAGCGCGGCAAAGAGGCCGCGGGAGGCCAGTCACAGGGGGCAGCTGACCTGGCCGCCCCCTAGACCCCAGCTTGGCCTTGCGCGCCGCCTGCCTGACTCGCACCCTGGGCCCACCGGGGATCAGGGAGCTCGGGGAGGCGCGAGAGACTGGGAGCGCGGCCCTGGGACCTGCTCTGCTCCTCCCGCCCGCGGGGCGGTGGTCCAGTCCAGGCCTTTGACCTGGGGAGGCGAGGACGCAGCTCGATTCCTCCCTTTTCACCGCCATCTCAGTCCAGAGTTTGGGGCTGGCGGCCTGCAGTTCGCCGGGACCAAATGGTGGCAAAGTTCTCACTAGTTCCCGCGTGGGGCAAGGCGCGTTGTACGAGCATTCGAGACCTAAAAACTCGAGCGGGTGGTCGCTTTCTCGCTGATTTGCCCTGCGTCACTGCCTGCTTCGATTTGGAAAGGGAGCAAAAGGCTCCCCCGGCAAAACTGGAAAAACCTAACTCGAAAGAACGATTTGCGGTGCGTTATTCTCTTGAAAAGAGTTCCGACGCCCCCACGCCTCCCATAGCGGAGGTCACAGTGGGGCCGTGCGGGGTGACGTTCCTTGCCGAGTCCCCTCTCCCCCGAGTGCCACCCTGAACTTGCCCAGTATGAAGTGCGACTCGACGATGAAAGGGAGAAAGGCTGAAAAGAAAGAAAAGGCGAAGGCCCGGGCTGCCGCGCTGAACGAATGACTGACAAATCCGATGTCCATTCATACTCTCGGGCGGGAGAGGGTGTACGGAGAGCCGCGGCCCCTTAGCCAATTGCTGTCAGCAACATGTGGGGGGGGGACATCGCTATAGCAACCGGTGGCTGGGCCGCGAGCCGCGCCGCCGCCGGCCGGGTGCGCGCCGGGCCGGATATAAGGCGGGGCGCGGCGGCC